CAGGCTTTGTAATCTTGGGCCTAAAGCACAGGTGCTTGTTTACATCATTGATCTGCTATAACCAATATCTCTATTTGCATTGCCTATCTTTGCACTCATGTTTTTTGTCCACATAAGATTGATGCTTATAACACAAAGTTTTAGACAGACATTTCATCTGTTTTTTGGAGGCCAGTGCTATGTGCCTTTCTAAATACTCTTTGGATTGGCAGAGAAGTTTACAGCTAGGGCATACCTCACCCACATTGTCTCTGCAGTCCAGGCTCAGAGGCAACACCAGAATCTACACATGTGACTATGGCTGTACAACATCTGACAAAGATCACAATTGTTTCTCACACCAAACACCTCTTTCACATCCTCAGCACCATAATAATGTTCACTATGCAACAGAAGGAAACATGTATTGGGATACCTGGGGATGTCACATGTTTAAATATTACCCATCCTGTTTTTTCCTCATGAATTACTATATACGTATTAACTTGTAGAAGATCCTCAAACAATGACACTTCACTAAGAAAGCCCTTTTTTGAGCTAATCACCCCAACTTTTCATGAAGCTGGTTTGTGCCATGTAACAGCTTAGTGTCTGTGGCATCTCTACACATTGTGACAGCCAACAGATTGCCTGCAAATCACAGGTTATTATCAAAGCTACTTTGGTCAATTAAATACTGCCTCTTTTTAGCTATGAGTTGGGCATAGGGGTTAGAACTTATGATTCTATAGGCACCTCCACCCACAGGTGTTACAACAATCATGTTCAGTTGGAATGTTGAAGCAAACAGTAGTTCTCTCCAACTTTGTAACTGGTTACTGACCCATTGTCAAAAGGTGCCAATGTCCAGAGGAAATTAAAAGCTCAAGAATGTAAGCAGTTCCTCATGTCTTCTGCATCAATACAGAACTGGGCAGAGTCACCAGGTGTGTATAACTGGATGAGATATGCTACAACTTGTTCTTATCCTCTCCTTCTGGCTGCATCCACCATGTGTTATGGCCCCAACTCCAGATTCACAAAGCAAAACTCCTCTACATACTTCTGGGCTCCAAACCTTGCTATAGGCCACTCCCATCTTCTCACCCATGCCGTATTGACATCTGACCAGACATCCTCTACATGCTCAGGAGGAGGGGAGGCATTTGAAAAAACCTCTACTGGGTCCCCAGAATCACATCTGCCACTCCCACTCTTCAACTCCACAGGTTGAGAAGGAGGGGAAGCATTTGAGGGGCTTTCTGAATCACTATCACTAGAGGGTTGCTTTTTTTTTCCTCAACAGCACTTAGCTTTATCAACTCTCATTTTTAACCAGGCTCAGACTTTTTGTCCAACATGTCACTTACCTCTGAGTTTGCCACCCCCTCTCAGTACAAAATCTACCCTTTCACTCCAACAATAATCGTGATCTTTCAAAACACTGCACATTCTTTCTGTAAAGTATGCATCTGCCTGCACCCCCCAACAATAATCATGATCTTTCAAGGCAAGATGGGCACCCTCCAAAGTCCCCCTTTTTTTGTTTTCATAATAATCATGATCTTTCAAAAATGGATGAAGAATCGCCTTCTGGGTGGCTTTTGGGGCAGGGAGGTTGGATCTTCTGATGTCACAGGCCATTTTAATGGGGCAGGAGATTTTGGGACAACATGGCAGCCAACATGGCAGAAAGGGGGGTGGGATTTTAGATGTCACAGTCCATGTGATGGGGGGCAGGGTTTCTGGCACCAAGGTGGTGGCCAAGATGGTGGTCAAGTTGGTGGCCAAGATGGCTGCCAGGGGGTAGGACTCCTGATGTCATGGCCTACATGCCAGTTTGGGATGTCTGGTTATAAAGCTACAAATCCCCACCTAAAAGAAGTATATCTGGGGCAAGAGGCTGGACTTCCAGTGGCAGAAGTCATGGGCTAGGGGATAGGACTTCCACTCCAAAGATCACAGCCAAGATGGCAGCCAGGGCTCAGAGCACCTGTCAGGGGGTGGGACTTAATAGTTTGACAAGAGGTATACCCCTTATACTACTATTGTTATTGAATGCACATACACCAACTCCAACTGTACATCAGAGAGCAGGCAGAGGGAGCTGGCTACCCATGGTAAGGACCAAAGACAAGAAAACTGAATCAAGCACCATGGTAGAAATGCCAACTGCCATCCTTATCGTCAGCTAGGAGTCTGACCCAGGACAACCTGATACAGTGGCATATACAATCTAGAGTCTATATCCACAGTTGCTGTTAAATTGGCATGGTGGTTCCAATCTGACAAAGAAGGGGATCCCATAGGCATATATACCTCATGGATATAATGCAAGTCTAAAATGCCAGCTTCGACATTTTGATAAATTGTGATGGTATAAATATTGGTGTGTGGCATGAGGATGACCATGGACACTGGACTATGGAACTTCAGAAAGGATGTGACAATCAAACGGAATGCACTTTACAATTCCTAATTGTATCTTCAGTTTCTATTATTTGTTGGAACATAAGTTTGGCACTTTTTCCATTCAAGTTATTTGCAGGGTAAATGGTAGTATACCAGTACAATCAAAAAGGGTTGCTAGCTACATAATATTGATGTGGCATGTGCCTCACATCATCATCACTGGTTGAGCATTTTGGATATACATGCAATCACATTTTTCTATGGAACATCTGGAATCAAGCCATAGCAGCAGGATCAAATTTCAAGCACCTTCATCAGTGATTTTTACCAGCAGATCAATGTGGAGTTTATCAGACTTACCTTCAGTATATTGGACTGTACATAAAAAATCTATCAGACACTGTGAAATCAGTACACTTGATTGGACACAGTTTTGGTACACAGACATTGTAATGAAAAAAGATTTAACAGGATGGTGGTCTATCCATATGAGTCATATGTCAGCAGTAGTTAACATAGATGCTGTGATTACACCTGATATTGTACCAGTAGGTTTAGTACATGTTAGACAAGATTATTCACACACTTTAATAGTTGAGCTGGTAAGAGCTTTAAGAAAGGTGGAATGGCATTTGGATTATCTGAATGTAAATAGGTTCAATCAGGAGTGTAATGAATTCATCAGACCTCTAAAATCAGGATGTTTTGGTTGGGAGTGGAAAATGCAAAGATCATTGCACAGAATTAGGAAATGAGACTTGTCAAGTGCAATAAATGGCCTGAGCCTGGAAACAGGTCTAATTAATTCTACTGATACAGAGACTTTGGGAAATAAACTTACACAAGTGTCTCACGAAACTCAAAGTTTACAAGCTCCTATAACAACAGCACTTTTCAAGATATTCTTCCAAGAATGGATCACCGCAAAAATACTTCCCAAATGGAGGGAATTGAATTAATTGGATCATCTGCTTTTATTTAAAACTGTACACAAACTGCAAAATGACACAATACTATCACTTCCCTGTTTCCAAGCACAATCATGGGTTCAAAGTGTGATGATGGGTTTAAGACAAAGGTATGTGGGGATAATCCCTAAGAAAATAAAACAAATAATATTGGAAAAAAACACTAAAGCTGAAAAAGAATTGCTAGACATTGTTTCTGTGGTGGAAGTGACAAAAGTGTTTCCAATTGTACCATTAGGACTTTGAGCAAATGGATCATTAATTATGTCTATCCTAGACAGAAAGTGGGACTGATCCAGGAGGGTAACTGGAGATCCATAGATAATGAAGGATGTAACTTTGAAAATAACCTGGATTAATTTGTCCCAGCCATGATCTCAGATAGGAATCCTTATGCTTAAATACAAACATGTCAAAATGCACTTACCAAATAAAAAATGACAAGGTTTTTAGTGATTCAATTGTAAGACAGATCAACAAGGGATGTGTTCTTGTCAACATCCTCTGTCCTCAAATATTAGTAAACCATCGGTTTAATTTTGAAGTTTAATGGTTTAATAACACATTTTTGGTTTTGTAATGTTATGACGGACCATGGTTGTGATTTTGAGGTTAATCTCCCAAAAACTATTTTTCTTAAACTAAGAACCAGTTTGACAATTTTTAAATGTGTAGACCCAGTATCTATTGGAATGAATTTGGATGTAGATCAGAATCCGTTGTATCATCCAAAGTTAAAAATGTTGTTGGAAGAAAATCAGCACAGTGTGCATCAGTTAATCATTAACATTTCCGACAATAACCAAAAAAGCACCACCATTTTGAATTCGGTAGTTAAATTGGGAAAACATTCTTGGTGGGAATCAATTTTAGACAGGTCTCCGACTGCTACTAGAATCTTAAATATCATGCTGCACCTAATTGTTTTAATATTTGTCTGTAAGATTGTTACTTTGTTTTGCATGATTGGGATGTTATGTGCTTGGTTGAGACTGTGTAAGAAGATGTGTATGTTGAGAGGATGCATAAAGTCATAACAGCTGACATAAGCTTTGATGTGACTAACAGTTAACGTTCCTATTTTGATGTATTCTAGCAGGCCACAACATTTGAGATTCAGTCTAGTGCAAATAATAGAACTTTTGCACAGCACTGCACTGCCTGAGTGACCATCACTCCTCCAGCGCTGCCACTTTGGGCATAGAAGGGAGTCTATGGCCAGGGACACTGTAACTCGATTAATACAGGTGATGGCCATTTTGGTAAACCAAAAACCATCAAGGAGGGGATACATTGGGCCACAATCCACAGTGTCCCTGGCCTAGCTACTGAGTCTTCTTAAGTTATTTACATACATTTTTACATGTTCAGTGGGTCTGTAGTACAGAAAGATCCAGAGATTGTAAAGTTGTGAAACATCATAAGAGAATGACCCAGTTTTTTAGTTCTGAGCATGCCCAGTCTGTTTTATGTAAGGTAACTTGATTTGGCATGAACTTTCAGTAAGTTGACAGCTACCTTTCCTGAGGTGAGCTGTGCTTTAATTGGTATGGTAAATGATTGACAGCACCTCTGTGGGAGTGATTGGTCTTAAGAATGATTGACAGAGGTGGTGTGATTGAAGGCTTTAAGAAGGGCTTGCACCGGCAGCTTGGGGGAGAGTGGATTGATTGCTGTAGTGTGTGTGTGGTAGTGTAGTAATGTGGGTCTGGTTGACAGCTTGAGAGAATTTGTTCTCCTGTTTGCATATGTGTTCTTCCTGGTGTCGAGCAAGGCTCCCCACGTGACACTGGCATAAGTCCCAGACCAGCAGAAGACTACCAAGTGACCACCACCAAGTGAAGGGTAACATATCATCCTCCCTTTGATAGAAGAGCTCGAGTATCTAAAGAGAGGCAAAGACTCCTGGGGTGTGGGGAGTTGGGAAAGCACTCTGCTCTCTGCTTCGAGTGCTTGGTTGACGTGTCAAACAACTGTCAGTGCCTGCAACTACGTTGCAAGTGAGGAGAAAAGGGAGTTTGCTCTCTCTTTTTTCCATTTTTTCTTTGTTCTTTTCCTTACTTCACTGTTTGATTCCTACTGTTGTTTGTTAATTGTTATCACCTTGATAACATAGACTTGTAGTTAAACTACTAATTGAGTCTGTTAGTTATTTCCTAATTATTGTATTATGTCATGTTAGAGCCAGGCTGTAGGCTTAAGCCTGGTGAGATTTGGGGCTCCACTATCCTTTTACTGGGCAGTTGTGTTAATTTACTGAATGAATTAGTGTGCTGATATTCAACACATGTTTTGGATAAAAGAGGTCAGGTCTACAATCCTGTCCCACCTTTAAATTTTTTGGTATCGAACTGAGAGATCTTGTATTGGCATACGAGCCCCTATCTACATGTTCAAAACAGGAAGTGTTATTGACAGGAATGATAATTTCCACTAGTCACAAGCTAGATTCTTCTGCTGAATTATTTACAGAACTTGAAATTATCCTGGTTCCTCCCTAATAGAAGAGACTTAGCCTGCCCCCAATACCAGTGTATCTGTCTTCACCTCCAAAACTGTGAAGGAAACTCAAGGAGACCCATTAGAATCTGTAGGCGTGCCTAAACCAAGAAAGAAATTTTGCAGGTAAGAACAAAATAATGTTCTATTATTCACAAACATTAATAATGTCTTTTTATACAACTATAGTACAGACTTTGCTTCATAAAGGTTTCAATCTCAGTGAAAACACTGCAGCAGTAGGGTGGGTTGTTTTGCATGAGATCTTTCATCCAATCATATCCTTGTATGCAAATAGTCCATAATCCAGACAAAAAAGCACAAATAAAACTAAATGCTCAGACAGGACAAAAATCACTGCACTTCTCTCTGATACCTTATTTCACCTGTGTTTCAGCAGCTAACCTTAAACATGTCAACTGAAAAGATGAATAAAACCCCGCATAGCAATTCTGCTCCAGAACTGCCTGAACCACTCAGGGATCTGAAAATTAAGTATACTAAGGTTAGCATTATGCATGTTTATTAATTCATCTTAACCATTGATATCAGACCATCGGTTTATTGAAACCAATAAATTAATACTAACTTAATTGGTTATTTGCAAATGTTTACCTAGATTTATTTTTTATATTGTAATTGTTGGTAACATTTTGTAATTACTTCTGTCCTGAGAAATTGTTTCAGGAAGCTTGTAAAATTTATGCTACTATTTAATGCAATATATTTTGGGGATTTTTTTTCTGGAATTAAGTTCCTGTGGTTATAAATTTCCTAGAAATTATAAAATACACCTAAAAAGAAATATCTGTGCTATTTCTAAGGAAAGGAAGGAATTACAAATGTAAAACATGATAACAGTCTAATTTTTATACACACACAGAGATTTTGTAGGATTATAAGAAATATGCCCACTACATTAGGTTGGAAGAAGGGATATTAAAATGAAGCTAATGTATTTTCTTTCTTCTATTAACATAGTTGCCCAGAAAAAATACAATTATTTGTCTTACTAATCAACTATCAATGAAACAAATATAGTTGGCAATGGCTAATTAGTCAATATCACCCGAAATACTAGATAATAGCAAACTTTTTTCATACACATAGACACACACAGGTAAAGTAAGTCTGAGATTAATTCTTTTTCTAAGACTAAATCTAGACTTCTGTTCCTGACTTAAAGACATTTCACTACGCCCTTACAGTAATACAGAGATATCTACAAGAACTTTGGACAAGCAGTTAGCAAAAGCACTGGAGTGCTTTCCTCTCTCAAACTTTCACAGAGATGAAAGGTAGAGCAAAGAGAAATAACATAGCAAGAAACAAGCAGAGAAATCTCTGTAATGATTACAGATTTGTTGGCTATTCCTATCTCTGTGTTGGGGCGTGAAACAAAAGGTAGCATATCAATTGTTTGTGCTTCACAGAATAGTTTGGAATTAAATTGCCACTTCAGGTCTCTTCTTTTAGGAGACTTCTTGAGCTAAAACATTTTTTTCAATAAGCACAAATATGTAAAGAGAATTAATTTTAACTTCTCTCAAGATTCAAATCTTTTTTCTAATTCTGGAGTGCAAATTTGATGGGTGGTCAGCCCCACTCAGAATCAGTCCCATTCTGTGGTCTTTTACACAGAAAAGCTACATTGAATGTAGTGTGCTTTTTTCTTGAATACAGTGTGCAGAACTGGACTTCAGTTTGTAAATATTTAACAAAATGTTAAAGCTATAGTAGGGCAATATAATTCAGGCACAGCGTAGCTCACTCGGGCGATTCCTGTTTCAAAGTATAAGAAGCTTAATCCACAGAAGATATACTAGGAACAGTGTGAGACACATTTCCAATTTCAGGCTTGTCCTAGAGAAAAAACAAATGAAAAGGTGTTCATCATAAGCCTGAAAAGAATAAACTATAATATGCTTCTGCAGACCCTGCTATGTTTCCAAATTATTTAGCCAGAAAAACAACATAGAATACACTTTCATTAATAGGGGAAATATTTAAGGTAAACACAGAATGATCAGTTTGTCAGATATTTTTATAATAGTGATGTACGAGAGTATTATCAGGAATCCACTGAGTATAACACCTTTAGGTGAATACACATATACATCTTCAGGTATATTGCCATGCTGTTTCCCTATGTGTGAAGGTATATGTTTTGTGAATAATTCAAAGATTCATATGCAAAGCGAGGGGCAAATGCAGCATATAATAAAGACTATCAACTATTTAAATAATTAAATGTGCAGAGGGGCCCTTTCCTAGCAGATTAAACTTCACAGTACTTAGTTTAATTTTTAAATAGGATGGTTTAATTTTTAAATAGTTAATAAATGGTTTGGATTTTGAACTGGGGTATGACCTTGAATTTCTTCCATGCCTGAAATTCCTTGAAACACATGCAGGTATATTTTCCTGAATGTTCAGTGTTCAATGAATGTTTTAGGTGTACAAGAAATGTAGATTTGTACTGGGTATTCATGATAAATAGTTTGCTAAGTTAACTAAAGAATTAGGCAATGACAGTTTAACAATTTATTCTTCTTCTGTTGCTTGTAAAACTAGTAAGTCCTGTGGCACTTCCACAAATGGGTATTAAAGATTGATCAGTTGCTTATGAAATGGTTCATGTATATGAAGAAAAGGGAAGGCGAGGAAGAAATGATGTCTCTTCCTACAGTGTCCCATGGAAGGCCAAGGGCTAAGTACAGACTGTCAAAAAGCCCAGGCTGAATCAATCTAGTCTTTGCAGGTTAGTCTAAACTGCAGAGATTGAACCAGCAACTAAGCAAACATTCACTTTTGATTCAGGAAATGCAGGCACATGACTTCAGTGGCTCAAGCCAGAAGCTGTGGGGGGCTAGAGCACACCTCCCAGCCTGCCAGCTCCAAGTCTTTTCCCCCCTCCCTGCTCCAGTGGAGAGAGTGTGGCCAAGCCCCAGCCCAAAGCTATCTGGAGGGTCTGCCTGTGTGGGGTGGGGTGGGAGGGGGGCAGGACCTACAAGGCTGGGTAGGGGGTGGGTGGCAAAAAATGGTAGTGGCATTGAATTTATAAAAGCTTGAACAAAAATAGTCCTTTCTCTGAAGTAAGTATGTATTGAACAGAAGGGAACAACCCTGTGGAAGCCTTCTGGCTCTGATCATGGACTACAAATCTCAGAGGCACCTAGAAACAGAAAGAGGAAGTGATAAGCAACCCTGCAGAGTCCTCCTGCTGTAGGTCTGGACTTTTGGGGCAGTAGGAGGAGGAAGTGAACACACAGCCCATGCTGGGGGACTCTGATTTAACTTGAACTAGGAAGGGGTCTGGGACAGAAGTTTCATAAACTGGTTTGACCTAAATCAGTTAAGACTGATACTATATTTAACCAGGTTTATCTTAAATCAGTTTCAGGCACTTTGAAACTGGTTTATGTGTACTGATCTTATGTTCTCTTACAGGTTTAAACCAGTTTCTGATCACTTAAACTGGTTTAGGTGTAACTTCTGTCCCTAGCCAAGGACTGTGGAAAGTTAAATCACTTGTATAAAAAACGGGAAAGGGTAACATCAATGTGAAACAAGTTTTAATAACAGAAACTAGAAGCAAAAAAAAAATTCAGTTGGTTCCAACTACAAACAGATCTTAATCAAGCACAGGACTACCATCTTTATGCAGGAAGAATTCTGTTTTCAAAACTAAATTCTTATTTACCAAAACAAATACCATTGAATTCAGTCACTGAAACCTATATCTCTGA